GATAGACTGGATAAAGAAAATGTAGCACATATACACTGTGGAATACTATGCAGCCATAAAAAATGATGAGTTCATGTCCTTTGCAGGGACATGGATGAAGCTGGAAACCATCCTTCTCAGCAAACCAGCAGAAGAACAGAAAACCAAATACCGCATGTTCTTACTCATAAGTGGGAGTTGAACAATGAGAACACATGGACATATGGAGTGGAACATCACACACTGGGACCTGTCGGTGGGTGGAGGACTAGTGGAGGGATAACATTAGGAAGTATACCTAAAATACCTAATGTAGATGACGGTGATGGATGTAGCAAACCACCATGTCACACGTATAAATATGTAACAAACTTGCACGTTCTCAACATGTACCCCCGAACTTGAAGTATAAAAAAAAATTACAAAAATTAGCTGGGTGTGGTGGTGGGGGCTTGTAATCCCAGCTGCTTGGGCAGCTGAGGCAGGAGAATCACTTGACCCTGGTAGGCAAAGGTTGTGCCACTGCACTCCAGCCTGGGCAACCGAGGGAAACTGTGTCTCAAAAAAGAAAAAAAAAAAAAAAGGCAGAGAAAAAACCCTTGCTCCAATACACATTTTACTAGGGATAAAATTACTGTATATTTTTCCTTAACAAAAACACATTCTTCATGTTTTGTATTGCTTATACATGTAAACACATTCTATTTTTCTTGTATACTTAGCAAAAAAGCTTATTTTCTTTGATCCTTATGGCTTCTAGTTGGTTTAGCTTTACATATTGTTTATAATTTTTCACCATTAGTAATGTATTTTTTACAGAGAAACCTAGGAAGTAGACAATTATAAATTGTCTGCTGTATAACAGGATTCTGTAGCAGACTAGCAAATTTTATAAACATATTTTACAATTGTATAGGCATATGATTTCTCATACTACATTTTTTCAAATTGACAATAAAAACATTTAATAGGAGACTTAAATACAGTAATTTGTTTGTATTATATAAAATTAAGAGGCCAAACATATACAGACTTAAACTTACAAATACTTTTGTATTTTATCTTATTTAGAATTAATCTAAATATTTAATTAATGTTACTTAACTTAGCATAACCTTAAGTTTGCAAATTACCAAAAAGATTTTAAAAATTATTTTTATGCAAATATATTATTATATTAAACAAAGCTAGTCATCATCCCAAATTGTTTTCATATATATATATATATATATATAAAATTGCAATTTAGGTTCTGGGCTACATGTGAAGAACATGCAGGATTGTTGCATAGGTACATGCATGACAATGTGGTTTGCTGCCTCCATCTCCATCACCAATATCTGGCATTTCTCCCCATGTTATCCCTCCCAAACTCCCTACCCCCGCTGTCCCTCCCCTAGTCCCCCCCAACAGACTCCAGTGTGTGATGCTCCCCTCTCTGTGTCCATGTGTTCTCATCTGTTAGCTATTTTTACAGCACTCGTATGTTGGACACATATCAAAAATTCAAAACCAAAATACTTACATATTTCTTCTTTTTTTACTGCTTTTACTTGTAGGTCTGTTCTTAGGTTGAATCTATATTTTTTATAATCTTGAACATCTAGTAACCAAGTCCAATGATTGTAGCACTCACTTTATGATAGACAATAATTTGGTAGACAAGGTATTTGAACAAGGAAAGCAACTTTATTCAGAGCCAGCAAACTGAAAATGTAGCAGAATTTGTTTCCTAAAGAACCATCTTTAGGTAATATGAATTTTAGGCTCCTCCTCTGAGGAGAGAGGAGAAAGTGGGAGGTGAGGGCAAGAGGTGACCAATGACCACGGACATCTGGGCAGCAGCAGTCACTGTATGTACACACTTTCTTATTTCCTTGGGAGGTTAACATTGGAAAAGATATTATTATTATCCTTGCTTTAAAGTTGAACTATACGAGGCAGTGGAAAGATGGCCAAATAGGCACAGCTCCAGTGTGCAGCTCCTAGTGAGAGTGATACAGAAGGCAGGTGATCTCTGCATTTCCAACTAAGGTACCTGGTTCATGTCAATGGGACTGGTTAGACAATGGGGGAAGCCCAAGGAGGGTGAGCTGAAGCAGGATGGGGCATCACCTCACCTGGGAAGTGCAAGCCACTGGAAAACTCCCTCTCCTAACCAAGGGAAGCCATTAGGGACTTTTCCTGGCACTCTGGCAGTCTGGCTCACATACTACACTTTTCCCACAGTCTTCACAAGCCACAGATCAGGAGATACCCTCTGGTGCCTACAACACCAGCACCCTGGGTTTCCAACACAAAATTGGGCAACTGTTTGGGAAGACACTGAGCTAGCCACAGCAGCTTTTTTTTTTTCCATACCATATTGGCACCTGGAAAACCAGGGAGAAAGAACACCTCATTCCCCTGAAAAAGGGGGCCAAAGATAGGGAGCCAAGTGATCTGGTTTGGTGGGTCCCACTCCCATGAAGATCAGCAAGCTAAGATCCACTAGCTTGAAATTCTTGCAGTCAGCACAGCAGTCTGAGCTCGACCTGGGATGTTTGAGCTCTGTGGAGGGACAGGCTTCCACCATTGCTGAGGCTCACCTGTGTAAACAAAGTCGCCAGGAAGTTTACACAGTGACTGTGTGGAGCTAATGGCAGCTCAGCAAGGCCACTACATGCAGACTGTGTCACTAGACTGCCTCCTTGCTTGGAAGGGCATCTCTAAAAAAAGGCAGCAGTCCCTCAGGGACTTACAAATAAAGCCCCCCACCTTCCTGGGACAGAATACCTGGGAAAAGGGACAGTTGTGGGTACGGCTTCAGCAGACTTAAATGTACCTGTCTGGCAGCTCTGAAGGGAGAGTGGAGCTCCCAGCAAAGCACTCAAGCTCTGGTAAGGGACTGATTGCCTCAAGTGGCTCCCTGACCACCCTGTATCCTGACTAGGAGACATCTCCCAGCAGAGGCTAACAGACACCTCATACAGGAAAGCTCTGGCTGCATCTGGCAGGTACCCTTCTGAGACAAAGATACCAGAGAAATGAAAAGGCAGCAATCTTTGCTGTTCTGCAGCCCTTGCTGGTGATTTCCAGACAAGCAGAGTCTGGAGTAAACCTCCAGCAAACTCCATCAGACCTGCAGCAGAGGGCACTGACTGTTAGAAGGAAAACTAACAAACAGAAAGAAATAGTTTCAACATCAACAGAAAGCATGCCCACTCAGAGATCCCATTCAAAGGTCACCGACTTCAAAGACCAAAGGTAGATAAAACCACAAAGATGGGAAGAAACCAGCACAAAAAGGTTGAAAACTCCAAAAACCAGAATGCATCTTGTGCTCCAAGGGATTGCAACTCCTCAAAAGTAAGGGAACAAAACTGGATGGAGAGTGAGTTTGATGAACTGACAGAAGCAGGCTTCAGAAAGTGGGTAATAACAAACTTCTCCTAGCTAAGGCAGCGTGTTCTAACCCTATGCAAGGAAGCTAAGAATCTTGCTTAAAAGGTTAGACAAAAGTCTAACTAGAATAACCAGCGTAGAGAAAAACATATACGACTTGATGGAGCTGAAAATCACAGCATGAGAACTTCGTGAAGCATACACAAGTTTAAATAGCTGAATTGATCAAATGGAAGAAAGGGTATCAGAGATAGAAGATCAGCTCAATGAAATAAAGTGAGAAGACAAGATAAGAGAAAAAAGAGTGAAAATAAATAAACAATGCCTCCAAGAAACAGGGAATTATATGAAGAGACCAAATCTATGTTTGATCAGTGTACCGGAAAGTGACAGGGAGACTGAAGCCAAGTTGGAAAACACTCTTCAGGATATTATCCAGAAGAACTTCCCCAACATAGCAAGGGAGGCCAACATTCAAATTCAGGAAATACAAAGAACACCATAAAGATATTCCTAGAGAAGAGCAACCCCAAGACACATAATCGTCAGATTCACCAGGGTTGAAATGAAAGAAAAAATGCTAAGGGCAGCCAGGGAGAAAGGTCAGGTTATGCACAAAGGGAAGCCCATCAGACTCACAGTAGATCTCTCATGCCACCTTGTTGTGTTAACTCTTTTAAGCTAAAGGAACTTGAAAAATGTCAGGAAGAACTCCGTGACCTTCCTCTGCCCTTCTCCACTAATGTATATCGTAATAGACTTATATAAGAGGTTCTCTCCCAATACCCAGAGGGAAGGAGGATCCTCATCTCTCAAGATGGAGGGACAGTGAGAGGAATGTGAATGAACAATCCCTGTTAAGATCCTTTTGGTTTACTACACTTAGCTCATACTCTTTGTCTTATGACATTCTTCCAAAACTTTCCACTCTTCATCAAACCTATCATAAAACCACTCAGGTTTAATTATTTCTTCAGGTGTTAATTTCATTATGCAGGTTTTCATGTCACATAAAACTAATATTAAATGCATTTTTATGCTTTTATCTGTCAATATTTCTGTTGTTAGAGCCCTACCTGAGAACTTCAAACAGTAGAAAGTCATGACATTTTTCTTCCCCTATGTACTTAATTCTGATAAGTCAGAAGGCATATCCATATTAGTTAAACCAACAATATCAAATTAGTCATATTTACCAATAATTATGTAAGTTACATATACTCAAAAAACATTTTGATTAGTTTCTATATTTCTGGGAGTTTAAGGAATGTTTAATTTTTGTATGTGATTATCTTTAAGCCAATTAGAAAGGACTATATGATTTTAGAAACTAATTTGGTAATGCTACTTGGAAATTAAAAATATTGCATATAGATAACATACATACATGCCCAAACATACAGACAAGTACAAATAGAGACTGTAGCTTTTATTCTGAAATGTCAGTCATGAGTCTGATAAATATAGTAATATAAAACTCACTGGTTTACTTAAAATATCTGGTTCTCATCTTCTCTCTGCTTCATATTTTTATCTGAATTGTATTGCTGGTGATATCAAAGTTATCTTCTCAATATTTCTTTTTAACAGTATTCATGGAGGAGACTTTTAAGATTTTCTTTTTTTCAAATATGTAGTTGGAAACAGCTCCCCAATACCTTGAGAGCCCCAAGTGGGGGAGGAGGGGCCTAAAGTTAAAGTGAGTATAAAAAATTTAGGAGCTTGAATGGGAAGGGAAAATCCTGGCAGGGATGGACAGAGGGGTGGAGGAGGTAGATTGTTGTGAAGGAAGACATTTCAAAGAATTCAAGGAAACTGAAGGGAAGATGGAAGCTGGTAAAAGAAGGAGGGAGGAGGAGAAGTTATCGGAATGGAGAGGTCATAGATGAGCAAGTTTGGTTACATTTAAATTTTCTGAAGAAGCCGATGGAGTTCCAATTTGTTCTTAGTAAAATCATGCCAACAAGGTAGAAAGTTGGCAGTTAGCACCACAGTGGAAGAACATAGTTATGAAGGGTTCAACAAAGGGAGGTTCAGTTGACTGAAAATTTCCTATGAGAGAAGCAGGATCAAATAGAACAAAGAGGCCTCACAAGTAGACAAGAAAAAAAAAAAAATCCAATCCAGGAGTAAGTAAGTGAATATCTACTTAAAATTCAATGCCAGCAGGAACTTCCAGCCCAGGAATTACCTTTCAAGATATCTAACTGAGCTTCAGAGAACGTACTCAGAGCCCTAGGAATCAAAACCTGTCCTTAAAATGCTTCAGTGGACTGTCATCCACAGCAATGGCTCAGGAGTTGGACTCACCAATGGATCTCTGATCAATAACTAAGGAGTGAAGACAAAGGCTTCAATGGCATATACTTAGGGTCTTGGGTGAGAGGCCTGGGGGTCCAATGATACATCTGATGCTAAGTTGTAACCCCATAATTGTTGAAAAATTATTCTTATGCTCGTTAAAATGGTAAGGGAAACTTGATTCAAGACTATTGGAGTAGATATCAGGACTATCACAATAGAGGTGAGAGATTGGGTTCAACTCTGCATAAAGCAAAGACACCTGGGAATTTACAGCCAATGAGCAGAATGATAGGTTCAGTAGATGTAATTACTAAGAGGAGAATTCACGTTTGGGGCAATTCTTGCTAAACCAACTTAACAGTATTCTTGCTGATGGTAGCCTAAGGTGATCAGATATCAAGGGTGAGAAATGAGGTATTTGATCAGAAATGAGGATAATCAAATATCAAGGGTGGTGAATTCTCTGTAAACAAAATTAGTGGGATTCTTGTTAAACTAGGCAAATAAGCTGAAGACAAGGACCAAAGATGAGACCTAGTAAAAAATAGGACTAAGAGGAACCTGTATGAAGTTTAGTCAGGGAGATAATCTTTGCCTCAGTTTTGCCAATAATTTAATGAGACAAAGGTCACCCTAATTTTTGATTTTAGGCTTCCAAAACTAAAAGGGGAGAAAATTCAGTCCATGTTGAATATGCCTTGCTATAATTTTGTTTCTTATATTTTCTTGCTTTCTGATTTCAAATACACATACATGGGCATAAACAAAGACCTAGAGAAATGAAACAGTGAAGCACTTTAGTTATGGAAGGCAAGTACTTGCCCCCTGCCCTCTCTGTCACATACACACACACACACACACACACACACACACACATATACCTGTATCTCTTAAGATCTGAACTACTCTAATGATTGGCAGCAATACCAAGAGCTGATTGTTAAATGTTCAGAAATTTGGTTGTTAAACAGTCTGTATCTTGAAATTGGCCAACATGGGAATATTTACACCATGGAAACTGGCAAACACTGCAAATTAAGTCCCCACACCCCCACCAAAGAGTAGGTTTACCAGCACACCTCTGGATGTAAGCAACAATCTATTTAGGAGGTCTCTCTGGTTGTATAAAAATAATTTTCTACAGCTGATCTTTCATTTTTCTTTATTTTCTTTAATTTTTGGGCTTCTTTGCCACTTTTTAAAGGGGACCAGAAGGTAAGTATAGCCTAATGATGTGTTGTCCTCCCAATGATCCTGCTTTCTCTCTCCTCCTGCAAAGTATGCAGTCACTATTAGTGGTTCTTGAGAGTTTTTCAAGCTTTCTATTGTTTTCTATATTTAGCATGATCTTAAACAGCGATCTGCTTAAAACTTTTTTGAGTTTCAGAAAACTCACTAGCAAGAGCTATCAGCCGCACAAAATCATTCATAAGTTTCAGGAACCTATTTTTTCAGTTCAGAAAGACAATAATGCAAACTACAAAGATAGGGATATATTTTATAAAATACTGTGCAATCACTGGTAAGTTTTTGTTTCCCATTCATTTTCTGGATTATAAATCATGTCCACATATCCTTAGTTTTATTCCATGCCCCTTAATTCATTTCTTCCTTATTTTACAATAAAAAGATGTTTTTATTTACTAGCTTTGCACTTTCTAGCTGTAGCTTTGCATTTTCTAACAAGGCACTAGTCACATATGACTATTTAAATTTAAGTTAATTAAAACTAAATAAAAATAAGAATTCAATTTCCCTGTCAAACTAGCCACATTTCAAGTGCTCAATATTCAATTGTAACTTGTACCTACTATATCACTGACCAATTTGCTGACAGGATTAGTAAACTTTTTCTGCAAGGTTCATTTGAAAAATATTTCAGGCTTTCTGAGCCATCTAGTTTCTGTAACAACTGCTGTACTCTACCTGCCCTTGTAGCAGGCAAGCAGTCATAGACAATACCTAAACATACATGTGATTGTGTTGCAATAAAATTTTATTTACAAAATGAATGAAGAATGATTTGCCTAGAACATGAATTGATTCAAACAAATGGAGAAGGCTTAAATACCTTATCCCTTCCTGAGTATATGGGAAATAAACTTGTTTGTTTGTTTGTTTTGGACACGGAGTTGCACTCTGTCACCCAGGTTGGAGTGCCGTGGTGCAATCTTGGCTCACTGTAACCTCTTTCTCCCAGTTTCAAGCAATTCTCCTGCCTCAGCCTTCTGATCTCCTGAATAGCTGAGATTACAGGTGTGCACCACCATGCCCAGCTAAGTTTTGTATTTTTAGTAGAGACGGGGTTACACCGTGTTGGCCAGGCTGGTGTCAAACTCCTGACCTCAGATGATCCGAGTGCCTTGGCCTCCCAAAGTGCTGGGATTACAGGCATGAGATGGGAATAACCTTTTTAATTACTAGATATGATTTAGACTGGAAGAGATAAAAATTTGGTTATATATGTCTATATTGTAGCTTTGTTTATTCTTATACTTAACTGAAACAAAATACTGTCTGATAAAACCCTATGTTAAATAAGCACAAAACTACAAGAACTTTCAATTAATAAGATTCCTTTTTTTGTTATTCAACTTTTAGAAAATCTCATAATAAGCTATAATTACTCCCAAGGGGTGTGTGTGTGTTTATCCTAGATATTGTCTGATTTCTGGTTCCTACAGTTTCATATGTAATCTCAGGGAACCAAGAAATGATGATGAAGATGCTCTTATATAGGGGTGTCCAATCTTTTGGCTTCCCTGGGCTACATTGGAAGATAAAGAATTGTCTTGGGCCACACATAAAATACACTAACACTAACAACAACTAATGAACTAAAAAAAAAATGCAAAAAAAAAATTGCATGATGTTTTAAGAAAATTTACAAATTTGTGTTGGACCACCTTCAAAGTTTTCTTGGGCTGCATGCTGCCCATGCCGAAGACACTGGCTGGACAAGCTTGCTCTAACATATGACCTGGAGGCTGGGTTCATTATGTTATTGTGCTTAGGAAGAAAAGTGATCTTGGATATATTATGTTTTGATTTAAAGTTTTGGGTTTTTTTTTTTTCATTATAAAAGTAATATACACTAGTTATATAAAATCAGAAAAATAAAAAAATAGAAGAATGAAAAAATATAGCTCTACTCACAGGTCACCATTAATATTAAATTTAACTCCATTGTATTGACTTCCATTATTTTAAGCGCTTAATAGATTCTCCTCCTTGCATAATTATGATTATAATATATGTGCAAACTTGTCTTAGTTTTCAATTTCCCAAGTTAATATTAACTCTTTTCCAACATTATATTAATGACTATGTGGTATTATGTTGCATGACTATCCATACCAGAATTTATTTCAAAATTGTCCTTTTGTAAATTTAGGATGTGTTGTTCATTTACTGTTTCTCATAATAGTGATTATCAATCTGTAATATGACTAGTTTTCTGTGCATTGTGTTAAAAGAAATTTAAAACCACTTCATTATTAACATGAGACACAGTCCTCCCTGCAGAGAGAAATCATGGGAAACTTATGACAAAAATTAGAGTTATAAGAGAGAGAAAATTATTTTACTTTTGAGTTATTAGGTTTGAAATATTAAGGGCCAAACTCTAATGCAAAGTTTGAGGTACACATATACTTCATTCCATTAACATCACTTAATAGAGGAAAAATGTTACGTATGGTTAAGCCACTATGAGAAAGATATTTCTGAAAACAAAAACAAAAACAAAATTAAAAGACATTAAGACTATATTAGTGGCTAACATCTTCTTTCCTTTAAATACTTTGAGAATGCTATCTCTAGCCTATATCACAATCCTTTTAAGTCTACTATATTTGATATTCACCATCTAGAGAAACTTCTAAGATAATTAACTATCCATGCATTTGTTTATTTATAGTCTATTTTGTTACATAAAAGGCCTTTAAATAGGCTTCCCTAGGCCTCTGTTCTGCCAGACTTATGCAGCTGGCTAATCAAAGTGCTATGCTTGCTAGGTAAACCTAAAGAAACTAAAATCTTTGAGCCAGTAATTTTTATCTTAAGTCAATAACTGAAAAGTACATACACACAAAACAATGGATAGAGCATTAATAGACCATAGATGGTGGCCTGCATTAGATCATTTAAAATTGCGAAGAATCCACTTGGATGCCCAGGTTAACTTTATTAAAGACGATTTATTGTTAAGTTACACAAAAAATTGAGGCAGCAAGGGAGGAACCACCTAGTCACCCTAGGTTTCAGCAGTTACAAGACTGTTTCCTAGAGGGTGAGGGTCACAGCAACAGCTCATTATGATTCATAATACATATATATTCCAGTGACTGGTACTTGGATACCTGTGTTCACCTTCCTAAGAGAGAATATAAGAGG